CCGCGCACTCTGCAGGTGCCCACTTCCTGCTATGTGGGTTATTTTACACTACAATTACCCTCTTCCACTTCCTGCTATGTGGGTTATTTTACACTACAATTACCCTCTTCCACTTCCTGCTATGTGGGTTATTTTACACTACAATTACCCTCTTCCACTTCCTGCTATGTGGGTTATTTTACACTACAATTACCCTCTTCCACTTCCTGCTATGTGGGTTATTTTACACTACAATTACCCTCTTCCACTTCCTGCTATGTGGGTTATTATACACTACAATTACCCTCTTCCACTTCCTGCTAGAACTCCGTAATACATTCACACCAGAATTGACACAGGTGGCATGTGTTTACCCTGCGTGGTGATAGAGTTGGGTAGGGAGGCAATTGAATGGTAACGTTCCCCCTTTCCTGGAAAGCCTCACTCTGCAGCTGCAGCCACAAGGTTCTTCAGGGGGCCCCCTGACTTGTGGGCTCCTTCTGTTATATTTACCTCTTCTGGTTATTTGTTATTTTCACAGGCCTGTTAGCCATTGTTTTCTGTTGCCGACCCCGCTGTATAACTGGTTTTGAACACCCAGTTCCTAAAGAATGTAACTCCCTGTGTCCTGTGATGTACGATCAAAATACAGTTAATTCCCGTTATCCGGCATCCACAGGGATTGCTAGATTCCAGATAAATTTTGTTTCTGGTTGCTTGAGAGCTACTATTAAAAATAGGTTTAACTAATGCTATGCCCCATACTATACCACATCATAACATAAACTCTGTTTTGAATTTATATTATTATTATTATTAAAATAAAGTAATAAACAGCAAATTAAGACAAACAGACACACTCAGTATTAGTGCTGTAATACAGTATAGTATAGCAGGGCTCAAGTGGAAATTTGGGTCTCCAAGTACCGGTCCGCAGGCCACCTGACATGTCAGGCACACGGTCTCAGACCTCGTACTGCCGGAAACACTTTTGTTCCTCCGTATGCCGTACGTCCTTGGTAGGGAAAGGGTTAAAAATGGTATTTTCTCAAGAAATAAAACTGTAATTTTACCACTATACCAAACACTGGTTTGGTCTCATCTTGCGTATGCAGTTCAGTTTTGGTCACCAATCCTCAGAAAAGATGTCCTTGAAGGAGTATGGACAATCACAATGACACACACATACAGTTGTGTGAAAAATTGTTGGCCCCCTTCCTGATTTTTCATTGGTTTGCACGTTTGTCACACTTTAATGTTTCAGATCATCAAACAAATTGAAACATTAGTCAAAGATAACACAAGTAAACACAACATGCTGTTTTTAAAGGATGGTTTTTATTATTAAGGGAAAACAAAATCCAAACCCCCATGGCCCTGTGTGAAAAAGTGTTTGCCCCCTAAACCTAATAACTGGTTGGGCCACCCTTAGCAGCAAGAACTGCAATCAAGCGTTTGCGATAACTTGCAATGAGTCTGTTACAGCGCTGTGCAGGAATTTTGGTCCACTCATCTTTGCAGAATTGTTGTAATTCAGCCACATTGGAAGGTTTTTGAGCATGAACCGCCTTTTTAAGGTCATGCCACAGCATCTCAATAGGATTCAGGCCAGGACATTGACTAGGCCACTCCAAAGTCTTCATTTTGTTTTTCTTCAGCCATTCAGAGGTGGACTTGCTGGTGTGTTTGGAATCATTGTCCTGCTGCAGAACCCAAGTTCGCTTCAGCTTGAGGTCACGAACAGATGGCTGCACATTATCCTTCAGGATTTTTTGGTAGACAGCAGAAATCATGGTTCCATTTATCACAGCAAGTCTTCCAGGCCCTGAAGCAGCAAAACAGCCCCAGACCAACACACTACCACCACCATATTTTACTGTTGATATGATGTTCTTTTTCTGAAATGCGGTGTTAAGGTGCCCATACACCTTACGACCATCGCAAGACTTTTGTCTTGCGATGGTCCTAAGCTTATTAAAAGCTCGTAGATCTGCCCATCTTGGACAGGCAAATTGTACTTGCGATCATCGAAAGCCCGCTTAGGGACGGGCTTCTGATGACAGCAGTGAGGGGCGGGCTTTCGATCACTGCAAACGGGCAGTGTGCGTGTGCGCACACCGGCCCGTTCGTCAGGTGTCGAACAAGCAGGCCACTAACCCACCGAGAATCGTACGATTCTCGGCGGGTTTTCAAGCCTGCTTGTTCGACGGAAGACGTGCGACCGTACAGCAGAAATGGTCGCATGCCTTCCATACACTGTACGATTATCGTATGATCGCGGGATTTCCCGCGATTCTCGTACGAGAATCGTACAGTGTATGGGCACCTTTACTCTTACGCCAGACATACACCTTCCAAAAAGTTCAACTTTTGTCTCGTCAGTCCACAGAGTATTTTCCCAAAAGTCTTGGGGATCATCAAGATGTTTTCAGGCATAACGGAGACAAGCTTTTATGTTCTTTTTGCTCAGCAGCGGTTTTCGTCTTGAAACTCTGCCATGCAGGCCATTTTTGCCCAGTCTCTTTCTTATGGTGGAGTCATGAACATTGACCTGAACTGAGGCAAGTGAGACCTGCAGTTCTTTGGATGCTGTTGTGGGGTCTTTTGTGACCTCTTGGATGAGTCGTCGCTGCGCTCTTGGGGTAATTTTGGTTGGCCGCCCACTCCTGGGAAGGTTCACCACTGTTCCATGTTTTCGACATTTGTGGATAATGGCTCTCACTGTGGTTCGCTGGAGTTTCAGAAATGGCTTTATAACCTTTTCCAGACTGATAGATGTCAATTACTTTCTTTCTCATTTGTTCCTGGATTTCTTTGGATGTCGGCATGATGTGTAGCTTTTGTGGATCTTTTGGTCTACTTCACTTTGTCAGTCAAGTCTTATTTAAGTCATTTCTTGATTGTGAACAGGTGTGGCAGTAATCAGGCCTGGGTGTGGCTAGAGAAATTGAACCAGATGTGTGATAAAGCAGAGTTCAGTTATGTTTTAACAGGGGGGAGGCAAACACTTTTTCACACAAGGACATGTGGGTTTGGATTTTGTTTTCCCTAATAATAAAAACCTTCCTTTAAAAACTGCATGTTGTGTTTACTTGTGTTATCTTTGATTAATATTTAAATTTGTTTGATGATCTGAAACATTGAAGTGTGACAAACACATTATGTAACTAAGATGAACTCCAGGATGTATTCAAATGAACCCTTGCAGTGGGGCTACTCCTGCACTGGAAGAGTTACCTGCTCATTTTGGTCTGGGAGTGAAAAAGAAGTTACACTCACCTGTTCCTCGGTCCTGCGGCAGTGGAACTGTGGAACCGTGGTGCGCGGTGTAAAGGTGCCCATACACCTTACGATTATTGTACGATAATCGTATGCGATCGCGTTTTCGTCCGATAATCGCAAGGTTGATGGGCAGTGTACAATAGCATTCTTACCTTAACAACTTTTCATCCTAAAATATTGGAATGATACAGATATTCTAAGCAATCATGGAGTGGTTGGCTGAAATATAAATGATTACTTATCAAGAAAATTTGTTTAAACCCAAAAGTGAAAAACAACTTTTCATGTTACTAATATCTATATTCCATGGTTCAGTGTTTTGGTTATGTTCCTTATTTATAAAGGGCAAGGCGGGAAAACATCAGGCAGATTGCCGCATACAAATATGTCCACAGTTAGCCGAATAACAGAAAAGTGGCAAAAGGAGCAAACAGTAATGCGTAACAGTAATGCGTATCCAGTTATCCAGTCTGATCTGATATTGCTGCCCAATACTTTACATTTTTCAACGTTTTACCCAGGGATGCACCAATACCGTTTTTTCAGTATCAAGTACGAGTACTGATAAATTTTTTTCGGTACTCGCCGATACCGGAAATCCCATTAAGGAAGCCCATTAATGACTCATCGCTCAGCTTCCCGATTAGCCAGGAAGCTGTCTTCATGCTCCCTCGTCAGCAGGTGACTAGGAAGCATGGAGTCGGCTTTCTGGCCAATCAAGAGGTTGGAGGGGGCAGGTAATGACTCTCCGTCTGGCTTCCTGATTGGCCAGCTTCCCGACCAATCAGGAAGCTGGGAGGCAAGTCATTACACAGTGCCGGGCTTCCTGATTGGCTGGGAACCAGCTCCATGCTATCTCGTCACCAGGTGATGAGGATGCATGGAGCCGGCTTTCTGGCCAATCGAAGCCGGGGAGCGGGTAATGACTCGCCGCCCGACTTCCTGATTGGCCAGCTTCCCGACCAATCAGGAAGCCGGGCGGGGAGTCATTACACGCAGCCCGGCTTCCTGATTGAACGTGAAACCGCCTCCTGGCACCCTTGTCACCAAATGACGAGTGAGCCTGGAGCCGACTTCCCGACCAATCAGGAAGCTGGGGGCGAGTCAATACCCGCTCCCCAGCTTCCTGATTGGCTGGGAAGCCAGCTCCATGCTCCATGTTAGAAATGAGATAACATTTAAAAGAATGTTGTAGAGAATGAGCATATAAATGTAACTATTGCTATCCCCATAGTATCATTGGTTACAATTATCTGCTCATTCCGTCCAGCAGTCTCTTGAATTGTAACATTATATCTCCTTACTAATGTATTTATTTTCACTGATCCTCAGCTCCATCCAGTGGCCATAATGCAGTATTTTCCCATTCACTCTTTTCTGTATAAATATACATTTTGAAGATCATTCGGCCACAAGAGAAATCACACTAAGATCACTTATTTTTTACCCCATTCTGGTTAACTTGCACAGAAAAAATGTATGTGCAGTTTTGCTGGACGAATTAGTTATGCATTTTTTTAAAACAGGCTTGTATGATTTTAGCAATGTAGTGTAACCCATGAGTCTATTTTCTATATACTTGTATCGCCTCTGTTGTGCAGCAGATGGCACTAGCAGCCTTTTACAGACAGGGTCACTTTCCATTCTTTCCATAGAAGAAGAAGGGAAGAGGGAAGGAGGGGCTGGGAATTATTTCCTGAGTTGAGAGCTGTGAGCTGGAATTAGCTTCCGGCTGCTGAGGCTGGTGCTTCTTGTGTGGGGGAGAATGTGAACAGGCTATCAGGCAGCCAGCACTGGATGGAGCACTGACAGCAGCACAGACACACAAGTAAGTGAGCTGGGATTGCCTTGAAGTGTTAATGCCAGAGAGCAGAAACTGGGATTCCTGGGCAGTGTGGAAAAGTCTTTTTTGCTTTGGATTCAGCAGACTTGTCAGAGATAAGGACTCAGGCTATGGAATGCAGCAGCTAGCAGTGAGGGTCTGGGTAAGCGCAGTACACTGTATTAGTAATGTTGTGTCGCCTGGCTGAAAGTCATACTGTTGTGTGCTTTATTTCACTCCTTTTCTGTTGCATTGTCACCAACTCTTCTGTATGGTCCCAGCTCTGTCTTGGGAGCAGATTCTGTATTTACTGTAACAGAATTGGTTATGGATTGTATGCTACTGCAGGCATCAAGTTTCTCTGGCACTTTGCGTTCAAGCTGCTTCGTTCATTGCTAATTCACTTAGATGTGAATGTGTGGATCAGAATGCGTGACATGTTATGCTGAGTGACATTCAATGTATTTAGTCCGTTTGTTAGCTTTATAAAGGGTGCCTGCAGTGATACTGGTGTGCATTACTCTATTAGCAGCACACAAATGTGTCATTCTCTGTATGCAGGCCATATAGGAATTGTATAGCAGGTACCTGCAGTGTTGGTGGTATACGTTGCTTGCATAGTGGCACATATACTGTATGTGTCAGCATTGTAGAGATCTGTGACAGGCACTGATCCATTCTCAATGTCATTCTCTGTATGCAGGCCATATAGGAATTGTATAGCAGGTACCTGCAGTGTTGGTGGTATACGTTGCTTGCATAGTGGCACATATACTGTATGTGTCAGCATTGTAGAGATCTGTGACAGGCACTGATCCATTCTCAATGTCATTCTCTGTATGCAGGCCATATAGGAATTGTATAGCAGGTACCTGCATTGTTGGTGGTATACATTGCTTGCATAGTGGCACACGTGTGAGCATTGTAGAGATCTGTGACAGGCACTGATCCATTCTCAGTGTCATTCTCTGGATTCAGGCCATATAGGATCTGTATAGCACATACCTGCAGTGAGAGTGGTATACGTTACTTGCATAGTGGCACATATATGTGTGAGCATTATAGAGATTTATGACGGGCACTGATCCATACTCAGTGTCATTCTCTGGATTCAGGCCATATAGGATCTGTATAGCACATACCTGCAGTGAGAGTGGTATACGTTGCTTGCATAGTGGCACACATATGTGTGAGCATTATAGAGATCTATGACAGACAATGATCCATTCTCTGTACCATACTGTTCAGCCGGCTCCTCTTACATTTCCCTGTCTGGCTGCTGAAGCCGTCTTTACAAGTAGCTGAATCTACACTGGCAGGAATGTATGGCCCCAGGGCTGGGAGAATGAAAGCAATAAGCAATTTCTTAAGAGGAGCCTGCGTGCTTTAAACATCTAAAAGAGCATCTCATGTGAACACCTTTCATGTAGAGATGTGAAAAGGAAAATTAAGCCTTGTGTTCGAAGCTTTGTATTATCAGAGTTCAGTTGATAAAGAGAAATTCATCAGTGCAATGAAACATATGTCTGGAATGTCCTTGATAGGTGACATCTATGGATAGGTGATGTCATAATAGCTCGAAACAAATCCTGATTGAGAAGGAGGGTGGGGATTGAACGTGGAATGAGGCTTTGCATTGATTAAACGTTCCAATTTTACCAGGATCTATGTTTAGTTATTATCGCTGGATTCATTATATGAAATATCTCTGAACCGGTTGCTTGCTGAATATATTTTGCAGGGTGAGCCTTTTATGTTTCGTTTATCTACATCCCGATGCTGAATTAATGTTTCAGAGGTTCATAGAGGAAAGGTGGAATCATTGATCCAGAAATGTAACAGGTTACCATGTAGCAGCAGACATGGTGAGTGTCCCCCGCCTGGGAGCCCACACTACGCTCCAGCTGCTACTGCAAACACACTATGTGATCGAGAGGCCTACAGAAAGCCGGGCTCACATAGGCTGCTTCACTGGTACACACATTTACTGATGACACTTGTGTCTGGTTGGGCTGGCTTTCCTGTTTCTGCGGGGACAGAGCAAAGACCTTCATAATCACTTTATTAAATGAGTTGGCTTTATGGAGAGCATATAAAAGGTCCATCATGCCAATAAAGAGGATGTTGAAATGGATTCCCTTAAACATATTTAGAATGAGATACATTCAAAGCATGTTATTAATATATAAGAATTATTTGTAAGCAAGAAACTTTGTATATAGCAAAGCAACATTCACCATCTCCTTCTTTGTGCTTTGTTAGAAATCTGCTTCTTAATTGTTTTTCCTTTTGAGGACATATTGGTTGGATATAGCCAGTTGCTTAAGTGGGCTACATACGCAGCAGTAGAGAACCTGATATCACTAGTAGTTTACATGACTTAGTAAAAGTATGGTAATGTGCAAAAATGATTATCGCTATCTCCATGAAGATAAGCTCATTGAGTGTGGGGGAGGTAAGTGTAAAAGCTGTAAATTACACTTAACCTACGCAGATGCAATTCTGAGATCTACTGCAAGTTTTGGTTCCTCCCTTTTTCTCTATTCTGGCATGCTTCTGCTCCATGTGTGCCACTCTGCAATATTTAGGCTGTTAGGAAATCCCCATAGAATCCTATGTACTCAACTACTTCAATATATGGGCAGAACAGATATCGAAAAATGTGGGCTGCCACTGCTGATCTGCTATGCCGCTATATTCATAACTACTTGGTGAGTTGCTGATCGGAAACAGGCATAAATATATCAGATTGCAGTATGTCTGACGTGCACATTCTTGTTCTGGGTAAGTGACTCACCAGTGAAACAAAGGTAAAGATGACATCCCTGGAGCATCCACCTTCAAAAACAAGTCAGCAGTGCCACCCCCATATTTCAGTACTGTGTGATTCCCTATTTTCTTACCATATTGAAGTATAAATAAAGAAGCCCTGTGCAGATTCCTCCTAATCATTCTGCTTCACAGAGTACTAGTTGCCTGAATGTCTCCGTGTCCGAATGTTCTGTGTCACTGACCAGAAGGAAAGATCAGCACTGGCCGCCTTCATATTCTATCAGTACAAATGTCTTTGAAATTGTTTGTTATGCTGGACTGCTCATCATGTGGTAGTAACGTCATTAGTATTTTGAGCTAATCAGGAGCTTGCATTGCCTTGAGATTAGGTCCATCTTAAATACATCAATTAGTAGGAATGAATAGCATCCATGTCAGTATTTGCTGGATAAATCAACTGACAATTAGATCCTTGAAAGCTCTTTTTTTCCCGTTGACTTTTCTTTTCTTGTCAGTGGAGCATCCTTCACACTGTTAAAGTGTATCTATAGCCCAATTTTTCTTTTTCGTTTTAAATAGACTTGAGAAAAGGTTAGGACCCCTCAATGTTATCCAGGGCTCAGTTACAGAGATTTCCCTTCACTCTCTGTTCTGTGTACAATGGTTTACCAGACAGGAAGTGAGGGGAAATCTGCAATAGGGAAGCAGACAACAATAAAAAGCCAACAGGGGTTCTAGCATTCCCCAACTTAAAAAAATGTGTTTTTAATGTTGTCTGTGTTGCTGTTAGAGAGATTTCCCTTTTCTTCCTGTTCCGGGGACAACCTTTTTACCAGACAGGAAGTGAAGTTATCTCACCAACGGAGTTGGCAGTAAAATCTAACAGAAGTTCTAGTCCTTCCCCACTCTATCCAAATAAACATCTTTTGGCTATAGATACACCTTAACTTAGGTACTGAGCTTACCTTTGCACTTACCATGAAAACCCAGCCATTCAATGTTTGATGTCTTTAGAAGGGGAGGGCAAATCAAAGTATAATCCTGCAGAAAGACAGAATCCAATTCAGGAACTATTGGGTACTCTTAAGGAATCATGTCATGTGGTTCAAACCTCTACATATTTTGTAGGTAACATTTAGCAGACATTCTGTCACAAAACAATTTATGATGGAGATTATGTATTATTTGTCTTTTACAGATGTGTACAAGTGTGTTGGTACCCTTCAATAAACCAACATTTTTTTTTCTGGAATAACTTTATAATGGCAGAAGTAATTGGGACCTATCAATTAAAGAAATAAAAATGGCATGGGCAAAAATGATGGGACCCTTAAACTATTTATTTTGTTGCAATCTCTGCAAACAATCCCCCATGATTCACAGTAGGGACTGACTTCTTTTATTTGAACACTTAATTTTTTCATCAGTGAACATAGAGCCGAGGTGACGTGCCAAAAAGCTCCTCTTTTTTCTCATCTGTCCAAAGACATTCTCCCAGAAACATTACAGCGGTGTGTTTGTTTTCTTTCAATTGTGGAGTCTTCCTTTGAGCCCATTGTTGCGCAAAAAGACAGTTTGTGCGATCAGACACTGATATACCTTGATCTTGAGGTTCAACTTGTATCTCTTGGCTCCTTATGTACCATTCCCACTGTTCTTTTGTTCAATCAGGGGACAATTTTCCTCTTGCAGTTACATCCAGGGAGGTTGGCTACACTTCCATGGACTTAATTATCTTGATAACATTTGCAACTGTAGTTAAAAGAACATCAAGCTGCTTGGATATCGTCTCATAACCATTACTGTTGACATGTTGGTCTGTATTTTTCTTTCTGATCTAAGACAAGACTCTCTTTTGCTTTCTCTGGTCCATGTTCAGTGTGGTGCACACAATGATACCAAACGGGCAGCGTGAGTGTTTTTCTTCATTTGAATAGGCTGACTGATTCCTTACAATGTGCGATACTAGTTACAGAAAACAAATGTAGTTCATTTGTGAAATATCACTATGATCCAATTATTTAAAATCTTTTCTAAGGGTACCAGCACATTTCTCCAGACTATTTTAGGATATCTGTGTAGAAAAAGCAATAATGTATCGCTTTTCACAGTATCTTTGTTTCACTTCATGATATACCAAAGGCATGGCATGGGAAGGGTATACATGAGACAATTGCTATTAATTTTATCACATTTCAGGAAGAATGAAGCATTGTTTCATTTACAAAGGTTTT